CAGTTCAAACCGACCAGCTGCTCCCTACACAGGGTCATTATGAGTCAGAACCTATTCAACAGCAGCAATAGCACCCTAACCCCAAACCAAAGCCATTGTCATTAAGTCAATTCATACTCATAGCAACCCTGTATGGTGGTGGTGTGCCGTGGGGTCAGTTCTAACTCATAGCGACCCTGTACAGGCTTTCCCGTGGCTGGAAATCTTTACAGGAGTAGAAAGCCTCATGTTTCTCCCACGGAACAGCTGATAGTTTCGAACTGCTGACCTTGTGGTTTGCAGCCTGATTTGTAACCGCTACGCTACCGGAGCTCCTTAGCAACCCTGTATAGGGTATCTGAAACTTAATCCTTTTAGGAACTGACAGCTTCATCTTTTGCCCAAGAAGTAGCTGGTAGTTTTGAACCACTAAACTTGTAGTTAGTTAGCTGTTGTTCACCTAATCCACAGTGCCACCAGGGTCCTGGCATGGTGCTGTAGGATCAGCACTTGACTTTGAACTACAAGGTCAGAGTTTAAACCCACCAGATTATACTCAAAAGGGTCAATATAGTTGGAACTGACATGATGGAAGCACAGTGGCTCTGTAGAATAAGCACTGGGCTGTAAACCACAAGATCATTCACACTTAATAAAAATAATATATGCATATATATGAGTACATGAACACAGTGGCTCTGTAGGCTAAGCACTGGGCTGTAAACTACAAGATCATTGGTTTAATTCCACCAGCTATACTCCACAGGAGAAAAGAAGAGGCTTTCTTCTCCCCCAAAGATGTATAGCCTTGGAAACCCTATACAGAGTCACTATGCGTTAGAACCAACTTGACAGCACTTAATAACATATATGAACACACACACACATAATTTGTATTTTCTATTTCATGAATTTTTTAAGAGGAGTGGTGTGACATTTATCATTAAAAAGTACATTTAGAGATATTCTGAAGTATAATGCTGCCTTGATAGGATAATATCCATCTGCCTACAAAAAAAGATCAGATAAAATTAATGTTATTCTAATTTATGCACCAGTACTAATGCCAAACATCAGAAAAATGAAGACTTTTTACTAACTTCTGCAGACTGAAATTGATCAAACATGCAATTAAGATGCATTGATAATTACTGGTGATTGCAGTGCAAAACTTGGAAAAAAGAAGAAGGATCAGCAATTGGAAAATATGGCCTTGATGATAGAAATGATGATGAAGATTGCATACTAGAAATTTATGAGACCAACTACTTACTCATTGCAAATACCCTTTTTTAACAACATAAACTACAATTATACAAGGTTAGGGACTGACCACCAATTGTTCACATAAAAGTTCACACTGAAGCAGAAGAAAATGAATACATGTCCACAAGAGGCAGAATGCAACCTTGAGTATACCCATCACCCACTGCCACTGAGTCAATTCCAACTCATAAGGACACTGTATAAGGCTTCCGAGGCTATACCTCTTTACAGGAGTAGAAAGCCTCAACTTGCTACCATGGAGTGGCAGGTGGGTTTGAACTTTCAACATTTTGTGTCCCACCTAACTTAGGAGGTCATCTCAAGAATTGACTTGATGCATTGGAAACTAATGACCAAAGACAAGATAACTTGAGGAATGACATCAAAGACATCAAGCAGGAAGAATCAAAAGGTCACTAAACAGATGAGGAAGAAGAGACTAAAATGAATGTCACAGGAGACTCTGAAATTTGCTCTTGAATATAAAGTTGCTAAAGTGAAAAGAAGAAATGGTGAAGTAAAATAGCTGAACAGAAGATTTCAGAGGCCCATTCAAGAAGTCAAAGTAAAGTATTATACTGACATGTGCAAAGATCTGGAGTTAGAAAACTAAAAGGGAAGAGCAGCTTTGGCATTTCTCAAGCTGAAAGAACTAAAAAAAAAAAAAAAAAAAATTCAAACCTTGAGTTCAAAAATTGAAGGACTCAAATACCCTAATACAATTGAAGAAAGAACTAGACATCTCTACAATAATAGTGGCAGATTTTAATACACCACATCAGGAAAAGGACACTGAATAACATAATCAACTGACTAGACCTCATAGATCAACCCAACAGCAGTACAATATACATTGTTTTCCAGCGCACACAAATCATTCTCCAAAATAGAACATGTGTTAGGCCACAAAGCAACTCTGTTGTTGCTGTTGTCAGGTGCCATCGAGTCGGAACCGACTCATAGCGACCCCATGCACAGCAGAACGAAACAATGTCCGATCCTGGGCCAACCTCACTACCGCTGCCA